TTGGTGACTGCAAAACGCTGCTTTGAGTTTCTACTACTGGCTCCCTTTCGTGGAGTAATTTCCTTCTCCTTTTCCCTCTCCCCAGATGAAGGAACTCGTGTTTGCATTCTGCCATCAGCTGCAGTCCAAGTTCCTGGACCTGTCTCTGGGAGAGCAGGTAGGAGCCAGAGCAGGTCTGGGGCTGCAGGAGGGCGCAGAGCAGGCCCTGGCCCGTGGGGAGTGTTACGTCCTGGTCAGGGCAGCAGCGCTGATGGCCGGCAGTGCCTCTGGGCAGACACACCATGCAGGGCCGGCTGCTCTGTGCTGAGGGCATCTGAGCAGGTCCGTGTCCAAGAGGGGTCTGGAAAAGCCCCCCTTGTGGTGTCAGCCTGCTGGAAGGGCTGAGGGTTGGCAGGGACAGAAAGGGGAGGCACCATGCAGGGCAGGAGTGAGGTCCCTTCTGTCAAGGAGAGCCTGGCTCTGCAGCCCCGACTGGAGCAGGCTGGGCAGCCAGATCCTGCAGCGGGCAGCCAGATCTCTGGTGCTGGTTCCCCACTGGAGCCTTGGCTGTCTGCTGGGAGCATTTAGTCCAGCTGTGTGCTGTTGCTTGAAGGTCCGATTCCACTGTGAATCTGGTCGGAGACTTCCTTATGGAGAGTTAGGGGCTGCTGGAGGTGGGGAAGACAAAAGGGGCAGCCCTGCCTTAGGGGGTGCTGGAGCTCCAATGGCATGGTAGCTCATGGGGACAGACTCTTCCACACTAGAGAAGAGGAAGATATTGGGGTGGGCCTTTCTGTTAGGAGCAACACACGGGGTGAAGCCATTACAGCCTCCTGGCTTGGCCAGTTCCTCTTGCAGATCTAGCCTTGGCTCTTATGTACTGCTGATGCTGACACTGGGGGAACCCACAGCAACTGACTACTCTGTTTTTACACTTCAGGTTATAAAGAATTTGCTTTTTGTAGCAAAAGTTGTTTACTTGCTAGCTCCTGCCTTAGAAGAAGGTAAAGAGGCCGAAGGAGACCTTGCCTGTGAAGTGGAAGAGCAGGAGGCCTCAGATGAGGAAGACAAAGACAGTTCTGCTCAAGGAGAGGGAGAAAGAGAGGACACAGGCGAGAAGGGCCAGCCAGCCACATTGCTATGGTTAATGAAGAAGCTGTCTCTCATGGCAAAGCGAGAAGCAGCATACTCCCCTAAGGTCCCTCTAAAGGTAAGAACAGGGTTAGACCAACTGCTTTTGACGTGGTGGGCACTTGCGCAGCAGAGCGGTGCTCTAGCTCTTTGCTGCCAGGGGACCAGCTGTAGAGAGGGTGCTGAGAGCTGGTGCTGAAGCAAGGGTTAGTAAGCGCCAAAGAAATAAGCATCATTTCAGTTCAGGATTCTCAGGAAAGGCTTGTGCCAGTCTGCTTCTCCTTCCTGTTGCTTTCAGCTCTCGGGTAGGGTGGTGGGAGGGCACTGCCTTCAAAAGCCCCAGAGAGCTAGGGTTGTGCAGGCAGGGGAAGGGCAGGGTGGAGTGACTTGCTAGGAGAAGGGGAGGTGTGGGAGAGCATCAGAAGCACTGTAGCTCCCCGCGGTGTAGTTACAGAGGGTAAACTTTGATGTCTTCAGCTGCCTCAGTACAGGGCAGTGAGAACAGGCACGTTCACAGCGTGAACAGCTGGAACCCTGTGGAGTCACAGCTCAGACATTACAGGTCCCGTGGGGTTGTGTCTTGTAGAAAGGCTGTACTCGCTGCCAAGACCTTGCAGCAGCAGTGAGTCTCTGACTCGGGTGTCTGAAGCGACGCCTTACACGTTGAACAGAGATGCACAGCCCCCTTGCAGCAGTTCGGTGAGGCCGTTTCCTTCCAGCCTTCCTTACCCCATGTCCCACACACTCATTTCCAGAGAAGCTGCATCTTTAAGTTCCTGGGAGCAATCTCGGTGGATCTGGGGAAGGACAGGATCAAGCCGTACCTTCCGACAATTCTCACCCCTCTGTACAGGGAGCTGAACAGCACCTATGCAGAGCAAGGTAAGTGATTTCCCTCACAAAGAGTAGCGAGGAGCAAAGTGTGTCAGAGCTCTGCCTCGGCACAAACACCGCCTGCCATCCCTTTGGTCTGCTGAGGCGCAGATACCATCAGCGGTGAATTTCACGTACTTGCAGTCTAACCAGGAAACGAGAGCATGTGACAGCTGGAACAAAAATCTGCATGTTGACAAAGAAAAAAGGCTGGACTAAAGTTAGGCAGGCTCCTACGTGCCAGTGGGTAAAGCTTCAGCGTGTGATGTAGTGGAAAAAGTGTAGTAATCAAGGGTGGACTCATGGTGGCAAGACTCATGGAGTCCTCGCGGAGGAGAGGAACGGGGGCGTGTTACAGAAGCCAGAAGAAGGCTGTTGCTACGTGCCATTCTTTCTCAGTTACCATGTTAGATCTGCTGTGGGGCTTAGGAACACGGAGATCTGTGCCCTGTGGTTAAAAGTGTGTTTCAGTTTAAATGTAAAACCAGGTGTGTGCTACTGTAGAGCAAGGGACTGTAGAAGTTGGAACTGTCAGTTTGGTGTCCCTTCATGTTTTCCCCAAGCTCCCCCTTTTGAAATAGAGCAAATGACCTTTAGTGAGTGCTGGGCATGCACAGTGAAAGTAACCTTTGCGGGCAGGGGCAGAGAGCTGTCTGCCACGGGCACGCAGCGTGTGCAGGCAGGCGGGCACCCACTGCACTGTGCGCAGAGCTGCTCCCTTCCCCCCGAGTCCAGGTCGCTCTGCCCTGCCAGATGCTGCCGGAGCAACAGCGCTTGTTTCTCCCTGGAGATCCATGTTTGGCGAAAAGATCTTAAGAAGTCAGGACTGGTGAGGGAAAGACAAGCCAACTTCCCATCTAACACAAGAGACTCTTGGCTTAAGAGCAGGACACTGGTGTTTAGGTAGCTCTTGGAAATGTGTTAGTCAAGCAAAATCCAATGTCAGGAGAAGAACAGATGACAAACCAAAAAGAGTTATATTACTCAAAAACCTGTGGTTTGTATACGCCATGAAAATTCATTGCGCAGCACTTGAAGAGGGATCTGTTTGAAGACCAAGGGAAACGTTTGCTCTGCTCTCGGCTTCCCCTTAGCATCTCTTTGTAGCTTGTTTCCCCCCCACCCCAATATAGTTTTTTTTTCCCCAGTGCTTGTAGTTAATACAGTGTAACCAACTAGCGATCCCACCCATTGAGCCGGCCTTCATTGTGCATACTGGACAGAGATGCTGACCGACAAGGCTGGACTCATCTCTGTGTCCAGCAACACCTATTCCAAAAGCGCCTTGGTGGCTGTGTACAGCAAGCTGCTTTTAATAACCTCTGAGATGCCACCATCTTCCTGAAAAAAATGTTGCTTCTCAGAAGCATTGCTTTTTTGTTTGCCTGTGTGAAGCACCACTACTTGTGGTCCCCTGGGAAAGCTGGTGAAGAACCAGCAGATTTCACAAGCACCTTTGCTCTGGTCTCTACAGTATATTGGGAAAGGTGAATCAGTACAGTCATCCTTTAGTAAAGAACGAGGAATCCTTCCTGGCTCTTGGCTTTCATTCCATATGCTGAAAAAGATTAAGCAAGTTATTTTTGTTTTATTAGATCCAACACTGAAGAACCTTTCCCAAGAAATCATAGAACTGCTCAAGAAGTTAGTTGGACTGGAGGCTTTTTCGCTTGCCTTTTCTTCTGTGCAGAAACAGGCCAACCAGAAAAGAGCGATGAGGAAAAAGCAGAGAGCATTGCAGGTAAGAGTCTGCTTTCTCTTCTGGGGAAAAGAAAAGGGGTTTCTCCTGAGTGCCTGAGAGCTGACCAGGAAGGTGAGCCAAAGGAAGAACGTCATCCTGAGTTGGGACGGCTTCATTTCTGAGCCTTCACAATAATCTGTTGAAGACCAGCCTCTTGGAGAGGGTCTGGTGGACAGGGATGCTGTGCTTTCCCCCTTACCGGAAGAGCAGTGGGAAGCCTGGGCAGAGAAGGCAGAATACCCCCAGTTTTGAGGAGCCTAACAAAACCCCTGCGTTGTCTTGTCAGTCACCAGTTTCCTAGCGAGTATCTGATGTCTCCAGGGACAGCTGGTAGTTGTCACTAAGCAAACTAATGTATTGTTTTTCACTAGACTGTAGCAAACCCCGACATTGCTGCAAGGAGGAAGCTGAAGAGACATAAGAATAAAGCAGAAACCAGGAAAAGAAAAATAGAATTCCTGCGCCCTGGCTACAAGGCCAAGAGACCTCGAAGTCATGCACTGAAAGATTTAGCAATGGTGGAATGAAAAGGCTTCTCCTTCCTGGATGATTAATTTATAAAAAGTAATTAGTTCTTTAGCTTGAAATTGCATTTTAAAAAAAAGTATTTACATATTTTAATTGTATTTATTAGTATTTTTTCAGGTCCTCTTTTTCATCTAGGATCTTAAATAAAAGCTTTTCAAATTTTTTTCCAAACCTGTGTATTTCCCGGAGCATGTACAGTTGAATGGACAATTTTTTAATATTAAATCTTACTTCATTTTTAAAAGATGGGTTATGTGATGACTGCATCCTAGCTCCTGGAGAGAAAAGGGTCTGCCTCCCACCTTTGATCTGTCTTTCAGCTTCTGCAGCTATACCAAGCAACTTAACTGTCATTTCTGGCTAAGCTGAGAGTATGGGAATAACAGCGTAGGGAGGCAGAAGTTAAATTCAGATTATGGCCCTGCCACATCAGGGCAGTAGGTGGCTACTGAAGACATTTATTTTCCTTTCAGAAAACCAATGCTCCATTAACAGCTAGAGGCAATGCTGTTTATCTCTGTTGTACTTCACTGTGACAGCATATCTACACTAAAGGATTACAAAGTATAACAAGATCAGCTTAAGGAAACCTCTTTAAGTGTTCAGCTACGTGGCTGTTAGAACTGGCAGCAGCTGGACTTGTTTCTGTAAGCAAGCAGCCTCTAGCAAGCAACACACCTATGAGTACAGCTGACAGTTCCAGATTTTATTAGTGTTTTAATTACACGAATATAGTAGCCACTCAAACTTACACAAATTAATGTAAGTCCATCCTTGAAACAGAAGAAAGAAATGGAATATCACAATGTACACAGACAGTCACTTGATTCAGTTTTACAATTCAAGAGAGGCATCCACATTACAGGAGTCAAACTCAAATCTGTCCTATTTACAAGTATTTGTGGCCTGACAACATTTGACTGCAGAAAGAGGGCTGCTGGATATAGCTGAAACTTCTTTGCAGTGGTCAGCTTTGTATCACTGCCTGCTCTTCAAGGCCTCCACCAACCTAGGAAAAAGGTTAAGTCAGTTTACTGGAAAATCATTTCAATTGCATTGAAATACTTTCAGGAGGAAGCCACTCTTTCGAAGCAAACCAGAAAAACATGAATGCAATCAAAGATGCAAAGATACTTAAAAAAAAAAAAAAAAAAAACCAACAAAAAAACCCAAACTATTTTTTAAATGAAGCTAGCATAATTAGACTGTTACTCACCATTCCATTGCTTCATCAAGCCCGGTGCCTTTAGTTGCAGAGGTTTTGAATATCTGCCATTTTCGGTCCTTCAAAGCCGGTAAGCCAAGTGCATTTGCCATTTCTGTGGGAGTCATGGCCTGTTCCATGTCCTGCTTATTTGCAAACACCACCAAAATGGCTTTCTTCAACTCTTCTTCCTAAAAAAGGGCAATCACACAAGCTGTTGCAGAGACTTTTACTGAATTTATTTAAGCAGAGAAAACCCATAGAATGAAAAGAAGCTTCAGCAACTCATTATTTTCAGTTCGCTTCTTTAGAAAACTCTCCAGTGAAAGAGTGATATTTACTTTCAATTCCAGTTGTTCCCAGCATCCTGCCACCCAGGAACAATTTCAAACATCACTGGTTATGCCTGTTACATTATGAAACAAGCTGGCAGTAGGATTTAACAAGGCCTATCAAAAAGCTTGCAGGAATCGGGGCGGGGGGGGGGGAAGTTGCGAACTCATCTTCTTACTCATATGACCCTGTTCTACATATGTTCTTCAGCTTCAAAACACAGTAGGATACTAAATGCTGCTAATCCTTCAGGGCCTGAAGTGCCACCACTGAAGTACTGAGCAGCTGTCCTTGCAGACAGATAAATTTTGATGTGACCAAAAGGCTACATGCACCTTACTGCCCAGACAACGCGGCACAAAACTGTGGCATATCTGCAGCGTATTTAGTGCTCTTCAGATGTGTTGCATGGCCTATTCTGAGGGCTGGAGTTTCACAAGTGAGATTAAGCTTCACTCGAGTCACTGAATCAAATTTCACATTTGGTCCAAAAAAAGCTTTTACTTTCTCAATTTCTGTTCCACCGATAAGACTGTCATCCCTGTTTTCTTACCTCTAACATAGCCACAAGCTCTGACTTTGAAGTGCCAATCCTGTCTCGATCACAGCTGTCCACCACATAAATGACTGCATCTGTATTTGAATAGTAACACCGCCAGTATGGCCTGCAGAAGGAAGATAAGTTCCAGTCATATAATTTGCACTTTTAGCAGTGCTTTTTTAGCCAGATAACGAAAACCAGATTACCCAGAGGAAGTGAAAACTGTCTCTGGGGTGAAAGGCCCCAGGAAGCAAGTAGAAGATACCTTCGAGAGGCTACAAAAATGAACAGACAGTACAAATACTCTCAATACTTGCGGGGAAGTGGGGAAAAAAAGACATCTTGAAAACAGGGAAAGGACAGAAGTGCTGGGAACAGGTTTATTTGGGAATCGGCCTGCCGGACATCAGGTCTGTAACTGAGGGACAGGGCAACAAAGAAAGTTTAAACACAAAAGCTTCATTATGGTCACCAAAGAAGATTAAACAGAGAAAACTTAAATGACTATTTCATACAGACAAGTAATTAACAAGGATCAAAAGAAACCACCTTTTCAGAATTATCTTACTGAAACTAAAAAGGAAAGGAACGTGTACCTTACTTATTAATGAACTAATTACCTTAATTACCTAGTGTTCAAAAAGGAATCACAAAAAGATCGAGAAATAAGAAAAGGGGTACTGAGGAGATCACTACAATTATGCATATAATGACTCATTACAAAACTTGTAAAGCTTGCTAAAAAAAAATCTAACCTATACCTAAATTCAACTTCCTAGCTTTGCATTCTTAAGAATATTTAAATATCTTTTTTGGGTTTACATCACTCGCTTCCCTCTTTCTCAGAATGTTACACAGTTGCCTACTACACAAAGTAAGCTCATTTTTCAAAGCAAAACTATACCAGTGAAAACATCCGCTTGTTTCTTTCCAATCTGTAGTCCAAAACAGGTCTCACTAACTGAATTCTGTCAGACGAAAGTGCTCTCCTGACAATGGGCTGGTTTTAAAACTTAAAAGAATCAATTTTCAGAGGTGCCAGAGAATTCCAATAACTTATTCAGATAAATTTAATTATATGATATATTTTGATTTTAAGAGATTTATTACCTTATGCTTGTCTGTCCTCCCAAGTCCCAAACTTGAAATTTCAGATTCTTGTATGTCACTGTCTCAACATTGAAGCCAATGGCTGAAACAAAGTTAAAACAGTTTCACTGTTGGTGATTTTTCTTTATTTTTCTGAAGAACATTACAGCACTTCATTTAAAATTTTCAGGCCGGAAAATTATCAGTAGCTAAATAATGAAGTTCATGCCCTTTGCATAAGTTACCCCAACAAACATCTATGGCTCAAAATAATGCAGTAATTTTTTTTCTTTGAACAATAAAAACACGTTGTAAACATATTGTAGAGATTTGTAACAAATGCCAAGGTTGTTAAACACGAACAGAAGCGTGCCTGAAATCACCAAAAGAAACAGAAGCAAGGGTTAAAGGCATGGCCTCTTTTGATAACCAGGTACACAACTGACAGCAATAAAACACTAAGGAACACGTCCTTCAAGTCAACACCAGGTCTGTGCTCTCATAAGACCACAGCAGAACCAGCTTCTCAGCAGAAGACTTGACGCTGTGGTATCGGGAAGGTGGCAATAAGATTACAGCAAATCATCTACGCCATTCCTTTTCCTGCCAGCCCAGAGAAGCACAATACAGGGAAGTGAACGAAGGACGCAGACTGCCTGAAATTTATGGAGGCTGAAATAAGAAAAACCCTAGGGCAAAAGGATTATGGCATAGTAAACTGCTGGCTTCCAAAAGGTAAAAAAGACCTGACCAAAGTCAGTTTATCGTGGCCATTCAGGAGGAACTGAAAAGACATGACAGGGACCCAAAAGCCAAGCGTCCCTTGCCCATCACGTTACAGAGCCATCCTAGCCAGACCCCTCCAGCACACAGGTCTGGGTGTTTGTGACAGGTGGGTCCGGCTGCGTGAACGCTAAGACAATTGGTGAAATCAGTTACACTTTTTTAAATAAGCATCATCTCGTCCCATGAGCTCTCACATTGAGTTTTGTTACTTTCTACATAGTGTACAGTTAAACCATCTGATTTCTTCTTCTTCTCTGTGTTAAAAGGAAGTGTTTACGTAACAAACTGAAGACACTTGTCAAAGAAACTAAACAGGTGCAATTAACTGACACCATCCTATGCACAATTTTGTATGTGCGATAATGATCTGCAGAATTGGCGTTACAGCTATATTTGGAGACAAAAGACTTATACAGTCAACAGTTACCATTTACTGAACATTTACATATCAAGAAAAGCCTGCCAAATCATGGTAACAATCTTGACAAACACGTCAAACACTTTCTGCATTCAGCAGGGCAGCATAAAATAATTCCTTTTCACAGTACTTCTACAGCACACTGTCACACTGTTGCGCAAGGAAGTTCTCAAATACAACGGCACCAGGCTCCCCCAACATAAGGTCCTTTTGTTTATGAAGGAAGCGTGTAGCGAGCTCAGCTGACAAAGTTAACTTGTTAGAGTTACAGGCAAATGGGCTGTTTTCACTAAGGGACTAACCACTTACTCGGAATGGTGGTAACAACTTCTCCAACTTGTAACCTGTAGAGAATGGTTGTTTTTCCGGCTCCGTCCAGTCCCAGGATGAGAATCCTCATCTCTCGAGTTCCAAACAAACTGGAAAAGATGGTGGAGAAAAAGCCCCCTACAAAGAACAGAAAGACGTTTCAATGTCAGCCAGCAATATGGAGGACATGGAAACGCAGACCGACCGGCCTCATTTCTTACTGAGCAACAATATGTTCCTTTTCTCTAGTGAGAATAGGGAACTGCAGGTTATTGCTTAGATATAACGTGGCTCAGTACACAGGTATCTTCCTGCTATTTTATCGCAGATCAACCCAGCAAAACCAAGTTGCAGCAGCATCAGCCTTCCTCATTGTGGTTAGGATTTTTTTTTCCTTTTCTCTCATTTGCTGAAATCTGAGACTTCTTTACTGTTTGTATCAGCCTCTATCTTTTCAATGCAAGAAACTATACAAGGACACACCAAAGCCCGAAAGAATTCTTTCTGATGTTTATGGTCTCCCACAGGACCATCCACTTCTTGTTTCTCAAAATTAAGTATCAATCAGTAGGTACATGTTAAATCACAGCCCACTACAAACCATGAAGCTGCAAGAAATGAAGTACATTAATGCTACAGAGAAGTCTAGCAAGCTGATTTTAAATACCTTTTTTTTTTTAACTTTTTTTCCAAAACTGGCTTTCCCCAACACCTCATTTATTCTTTAAATGCATGTAAGAGTATTTGCGACCAGACCACTATCTCATTTGTGCCTATTAGATGTTTAATTGTAGAAACAACGCTAATGCTCTAAGCCAGTAACAACAACATTTTTTCCAATGATTTTTGTAAGAAACAGATCTAATGCTAAATAATAATTTTGTAAATCCATCTAAAGCTTGTAAAAGGTAATGAAATGCCAAACAAGGTAGAATCACATTTGATAAATACATCAGAGGCAACAAATTAGAGCAGATTTGTAATGAAGATCTTATTGAAAGAAGTTTTGATAAAAATTATGCCTTGTGTTTGCCTTTCTGGGCACCCGTGATGCCTTTCCAGGGAAAGGAGGGAGCAGTAAGCTGCGTGCTTATGCATAAGCAGGAATTCCAACTGAGAACAGGTTGCTCTACTGGTTCTAAGCCCATCCCATCACACAAGCCACGCACACTACAGACCTGGAAAGCAAAGAGAAGGTCTGACGGACCCTCTGCTGCCAGTTTGCACAGCGCTGCTCAGGGCGCTGTTTACTGCCAGGCGGGCAAACCACCTCAGCAAGCCCAGCTGCCATAGGCGTTCCATGGGAACGTCCCAGCTGGGAGGCTGCGCCACGGAGGCCTGAGAGACAGTAACTCAGTCAGCTGCGATCTCCGACCCGCGCAGGCGGCTGGGAGCGGCGGGGAACGCTGCCCTGAGGCGCCTCAGCCCCAGCAGCGCGCCGGGAGG